AGTCCTGTCTCCAACTCCTGGCAGGCTCAGGGCAGCTCACGTCCTTCCTCAATCCCCAGGCACTGTGGGCTCTTGGAATTCAATTTAGGACAACAAACCGAAGGATGAGAGCTTGCAATAAACAATGCAGGGATTGACCTGGAGATCTCAAAACCAAACCAGACTGTAAGAGGCAAGACAAGCCCAGAGAGCCAGCCCGAAATGGAGAATCGGAGAAGACTTGGGGTTCCAGCCTTTGGGAGAATGAAGCTGCTGGTAGAAGACTGGGGAAGCAGCGAGTGGGGAAAAAACAGGGACTCCTGCCAAAAAGAATGTTCCAGAAGCAGCCACTATGGGACATGGGTGGCATGGCACCCCTCTGATTGAGAGCAATAGGACCACCCTGGGAGTTACATAGCCCCGTGTCTGAGGTCTCAAGCTTAGGGCAGAAATGGGGCAGTTATGAATCCCAGGTCTGCCGCTTTCTAGCTATGTGACCTTGGTTAAGTGACTCAATGTCTCTTAGCCTCAGACTCCAGATCTGTAAAATGGGATCAGGTAAAAAGTAAAAACATAGGCTGCCCAGGGCTGTTGTCAAGACTAGGGAACTAAACTTAAAGGAATGAGAAATTCTAATGAAAGCATGCAACCTGGCCTAGCCAAGGTGGGGGTGCTCCTGGGAGGCTCTGGGCAGACAGAAACCCAGACACCCTAACACCTCGGCTCTGCAGTTAAACTACGGAGTTCTTCTGGAAAATCCATCCACCGAAATTATTTTCCTTGAAACCTTACTTGAGGTGGGCCCAGAACAACCTCTTCACTTGCTGCCAGTTAATCAGTTTACCCTCCAAAAATGTGCAAGCAAGATTTCCTGTTCCCAGACTGTCTGCAGTATTTTTTTCTCCCCTCTTGCCTTTCTGTTATAAAGACTGCCTAGGCCTCTGTTCCTGACTCTGACTCCATCTTCTAGCAGGCAAACTATCTAACTAAGTGTCTCTGAGTTAGTCCTTGACAGGTCCTTTCTGCAGGCTCCACTGTGATGGGCCTACACGGACAATATCATCCAGACCCTCGGCTCCTCCCCTGAGTCTCACCTGCTGCAGTTCAGCTCTCTGACTTCCTAATGCTCCGGCCGGTTCTTGGCCAAGTCTGTTTCAGGTTCCAGTTCATGCATAACTACTCTGAGTGAACTGGAACTGGTGGCTGCGGTCACTGCATGACGTTGTGTTATGTTACTATGAGAATAAAATTTTAGCTCCTTGAGCTGACTCTAGGGTTTTACTGGGATGTGGAGACAGATTTATGCATTGTTGCCACTGTTCCCAGGCTCAGCCAAACAGATGGAGAGAGCACAGGGGTCAGGTGGTGACAGGAAGGGAGTGGGGGGCAGGGAAGAAGCCAGGGGCTCTCCCAGGGTCAGAGGCCTGGATCCACCCTGTCCCAGCCACATGACCTGGTGCCAACCATGTCACCTTGCTGAGCTTCATTCCTTGCCTGTACAGTTCAGAGGGTAAAGAGCATGGGGCTCTGAAGGGATAAACCAGTGGAGACGTGGGATGGGCTAGGCTGTTGAAAGTGTGACCCACGAAGAATGAAAGTCATTTCTGGCACAGAGAAGATCTGGATGCGGAGGCCAAGTGATCTCAGTAAGTCATTTCCCCTTTCTGAAGCCACATCTTTATCTGCAAAATAGGGAAGCCCCCTCATTGCAGTGTAGCACACAGAAGAGGTGAATTGAGGGCCACGCAGGGTCACAGCTATAGACGCTAGTGGCTGTGAGTGCTGAGGGTGGTGTCTGTAGAAGGTGTTTGGCTCTCGCACCACTGGGAGGTCTCTGCGGTCATTAGGGCTCCAGCACACAATGGGAGGGAGGGAGCCCTTCCTTCCTCGGCAACACAAAGTCAGGGGATTTATTTTGGGCTCCAGTCTAGTCTAAGGATCTAAGGAAAGACTAGTTTTTTCTTTTCTTTCCTTTCCACTGAGCCTTTTATTTCCAAAAAGGTAAATGCTCAATTAGAAGGATTTCTGCCTTTCATGTGGAGTTGTTTTAGGCTTTTTGAGCGTGAAATAATATTTTGGAGTCATTTCACCCTCTCAGTTAGAGAAGTAGCTGGGTTTGCGTTGGTTCTGCTTTTTCGGTTGGGTTTTTCTCAAGAGCTCTCTACTAAGTAAATATGCATAAAGGGAATTTTTAGTCACTCCAGCCTATTAGTTTACTGTGGATTCAAATGTATTTTTTTTTAATGTGGCAAAATCTATTACAGTGCTATCTAATCGGATTTGATTTTTTTTTAATGTTACTAATGAAATTCAGAGAAAGTACTTTCTTTGCACACCCAAATGCAGACTTTCCAAACGTCATTTGCAACCCTTCTTTTAGTTCTGTCAAATAATTTGGAACTAATGTTCTTTTCTCCTTAAATTTTCTTAATTATTTTAAGTCATTTTTAACTCATATTTTATATTCCCTTAAGGACTTCAAAATCATACCTGGTTAGATAACTGTTAGGTACAAGAGTACTTCAAAAAGTTCATAGAAAAATAGAATTAAAAAATAATACAAATTCTTCCATGAACTTTTTGAAGGTCCCTCGTGTTTTATAGAAAAGAAAAAAATACACACACACACACACACACACACACACAGAGAAAGACAAAAGGGTCCAAACATCCCCAAACTAAAGGAAAGAAGAACATTTTTAACATACGAATATTCAAATATTCTTTGAACCCTGAACACGCTAAAAGGCCACCATGAAGCATAACCCAGCCCTTGCCCCATCTGAATTTTGATCTTCTTAGGAATAAAAAATAAAGATCACTTTGTTGAGTGATCTTATGTGCCAGGACCTATACTAGATTCCTTAATGAATAGACTTGTTTCTTTTTCACATCAAGAGCACAAAGTGTATCCTCACAATAAAAGTCAGTCATTTGATCCCTGAGTACTAAGTAAAAAACCTTGGACTGAAACCCAGGCAAATTTCAATACCTAAACTATTCTGCTTCACATTAAGATGCTACTGATAACAACTGAAGGGTCTCATCAAATCTTAAGTCTGATGTGTTTATTATACCTCTGATGTGTTTATTTTACTAGGGGCCATAGGGCACAAAGCTACATGGCCTGAGGCAATGTGGTTATTCTGCTGATCCTTAGGATTCTTACCTGAAACATATTTGACTGTACATATCTGTGGAGTACAGTGTTGAATATCCATAGCTGTGTGCAATATATGATGCTCAAATCAGGATAATTAATTATTCAACATCACGTAATATAATCATTTGTGGCCCTTTACCAATTACGAATCTTATGACTATCTATCTACCCCACCCAGGCTGTGGCAGAATCAACTGAGATGAAAGGTGGGTGCAGGGTTTTCTCAATCTGCCTCCAGGCCTGCTCCTGATCCCCTTCCACTCCACCCTGTCCCCCAGGCTCCATGGGGAGTTCCCTGCCTTGGCTTCTCGTGCGCTCAGCTGGTGGGATTGTGGTGGGCAGGCAGGACTAGGCCAAGGTGGCAGAGTTGATCCTCCTGGCTCCTCCCCTGTCAGGCTGAAGAGGGGACTCTTCCCCAGAGGCTTCCACCAACTACTACGGCGACGCTCTCCCAGCTCCCCTAGCCCACCCCTCCCTTTGCTGCTTCTCCCAGGCTGGAATCAGGGCCCAGGCACTGTGGCACCCCCAGCTGATCCCCCTAAATGTGGGCGGCTCCCATCTCCGGAAACACATTCTGTGCTAAACTCTCCACTCAACGTTTCTCGCTGGAACCCAGAATGGTAAGATGTTTAAAATGCTTGGCACTCCTGGGCACACAGTAAACCTGGGTACTTTCTCCTACTTGCTGCCTGCCATGCCAGTGACCCCTACCCTCCAAATCACTGTATAAATCTGAGATAAAGTATACAGACAAGTATCAAGAATAATGCATTAAGTTTTATTTCTCAAAGCAAGTGCAAAACAGCCATTCTGTTTTATACACAATCATTCTGAGGCCCCCAATCCTTTAAGGCTCACTGTATAAATCTGAGATAAAGTATACAGACAAGTATCAAGAATAATGCATTAAGTTTTATTTGTCAAAGCAAGTGCAAAACAGCCATTCTGTTTTATACACAATCATTCTGAGGCCCCCAATCCTTTAAGGCTCGCATCGTTTAGGGACCTGCAGCCTGGCTGGGTGGCAATGATTAATCCCAAGTAAACAAACCAGAGGCCAGGACCTATGGGAGAAAATGGGGGCCAGAGCACCGAGCCCATAAAATTCCCAGTTCCCTCACCTCTCCAGAACCAGGAAGAACAGACTTATGGCCAATCTGTTATCTTATTTTACTTTATTTCTCTCGCACAAACAGGACACAAGACACTTTGATATCGGTTCTAAGCATTCAAAAACACACCTTTGCTCTCCTGCAGTCTGACTCATCCCTAGAACACCCCAGACAGCTCAGCTTTGTCAACAAGCCCTCTGTGGTTCCTCAAGGCAGAGGGAAACTTTTCCCATCCTCTCTCAGCACATGCGTATTTCTGTTCTAGTGCAAACCACAGACAGAGTAACTCTTTATGTCCCCATGTCCCATCTTGAAGACACTGTGACCTGTGGGACAGCAAGAGGACAATGACCCCGTGTTCTTCCATCTCTCTATCTCAGCACCTTGCATGGTGTCTGGAACGTAATAAATCCCTAGTAAATGTTGGCTGAACTGAAATCAAAACAATCTGACCACCACTAACACCAAGAAAACCAAATAAACAATAAAACACCAGGCTTTCCAAGGATATGTAGGTTTCCAATAAGGAAACAGATTTAAATGCATGGAAAAGTGTGGCTTTGTGGAAGAGGGAGCACAAAGGGTTGGCTGATTTGGAGTTCATGAGATCAAACCAGCTCTGTTACCAAGAGTTTCAGTGACTTCCCCTCTGGGCCTTGATACTTTTGCATTAAAGTAAAAGGGTTGAAAAAAAGGTTGATTTTCGCTCATAGATGGGCCACAAAACAGACTTTGGCAAGGTCGCCATGGTTCTTGTTCGCAATGTGCGTCATCTGGGAGTCCCCACAGATGTCACCTTGGCCCTGTCAGGCTTCAGACTTCAGAGTCTGAAACTTCTGGGCCATCTTTCGAAACACATCATCAAGAACTGCTGAAAAATAACTGTGCAAAGCAAGTGTGAACTCCCAAAGGCCCTGCCCCGCTCCTTGAGAAGAAAGGTGCCCTTGGCAGAGAGTAGTGGATAGGCCAGCCTCTCCAGGCCAGGGCTGTCTGGGATGCCAGGAGAGTCTTGAGATCAAATCTGGATCAAATATAAATGAGGTGAGGATTGTCTTCACAAAGAAAGGCTTTAATGAACCCAAGGCCACTGTTAGCAGAACTCCAAAGTCTTTCTTTCTTTTTTTTGTCTGCACCATGCTCAGCCAGTGAGCACACCGGCCATCCCTATATAGGATCCAAACCTGCAGCCTCGGCACTACCAGCGCCGCACTCTCCCGATTGAGCCATGGGGCCGGCCTCAAAGCCTTTCATTTTGCAAAGAGTGAAACAGACCCAAAGCCTGAAATAGTCTGGGCTCCAAGTTTCAAAGCAGCTGAGCACTGGCACCAGGACTCAAATGCGGGCTGTCACGGTAGCCAGATCAGAGCAGGATAGAGCTTCCAGATCCTCAGGCCTGCTGGGAGGGATGCTGAAGTTTCCACATGGGTTACACATCTGAACAAAGCTGCATGTAAGCCTCAGTCTAGAATTCTCTGTGAGAAGACCAGCTCTTCCACTGGCCTGTGGGGTGTGTGCACGCATGCACATAGGACTCATCGGAAAGCCCTATAAGGACAAGACGAATAATGGATTTTATTTCCCACTTTCTTGGTTGCTTTTTGTGGTGTGGACGGGGGCCTGGCTTGAAGTTTAAGGTTTAGTTCCTACAGGGCAAAGCCCTGTCCAAATATAAATCCTTTGAGTCAGCAACCTTCTACACAGGAACTGACTAAAGCAAGGTTAACTGACCAGGAGGTTCCGAGTCACATATCCATGAAGCCCTTCGTCAGGGACTGCCAACCACTTGCCTTCAGAGTGGTGTCTGGCTTTGGGGGCTGCTTGGTGGACAGGGGAGACAGAGATCTACTAAGCATGTAGCCCTACCCCCAAGATCTAGGACCCAGAAGAACCTCTCACTGCCTGGACCACATATGGTTCCTTCCCCCCATACCTGAGGGCCAAGGGCTCCTGATATCAGTGACAGCCAATTCTGTGGCTTCAGGAGGAGTGCTGGTGAGTCCAGCCTGGACCTCTACATCTGAGCACAGCCGTGTCTATAATTAGCAAGAAGTTAGCTGCCGCCTGCTGCTACAGAGCTACCAAGAGCGGAATCCACACCCCCTAAAGACTCTCTGCCATCATTTTTAGCAACGCACCCTGTGCAGTGCTGTGGCCTGCCAGCCAGGGGAGGTGAGGTGAAAACCCTGTGCAAGCCCAGGCCCTGGCCTTGCCCCAACAGCGCCACCTGATCAGTATTTGGGCCTAGCAAACATTTCAGGGCTTGTGGGATTCTGCAAAGGTGGAAGAAGCCCTCTATTCATTCTTTCGTTTATTTATTCACCAAAAACTGTGTGTTGGAACTCCTCTCCCCCAGACTTGAAGTCAAGGCATATACATATACATACGTGCATACATACAAACATTTCAGGGCTTGTGGGATTCTGCAAAGGTGGAAGAAGCCCTCTATTCATTCTTTCATTTATTTATTCACCAAAAACTGTGTGTTGGAACTCCTTTCCCCCAGACTTGAAGTCAAGGCATATACATATACATACGTGCATACATACACACACACACAGTGTATATGTAGTGAACATATTCATTACATATACATGTGTACACACTCACACTACATGTCATATCTTCTGCAGAACACATTTTGGAGATAGTGGTAATAGTTCCATTTTACAGATATGGAAACAGAGACTCTGAGAGGTTAAATCTCATGCCCAAAGTCAAAAGAGAAAGATGATGGGAGGACTAGAAGAGCCCCCCACTCAACACCCAGAACTGGCCAGAGGCAGGGGGCACGGTGAACTCTGGTCTCTCGTTTTCAGCCAACCACGGTATCTCAGAAAAGGGCCATGGCCATGGTGTGTGGGGCAGGAAGGGGAGGTTTGGGGAGGCTTAGTGAGCAGCCCCCTAGGCACAAGGCCGCTGGTGCCCCTTTTCCGTGGCAGAGCCAAGAGGCAGTTTCCACAGAAGCCGGCAGGGGGCAGTGTTCCTTGCCTTTTCGAGTCTCCGGGGCGCTCGGGAGCAGCGCCCCATAAAGAGACCAGGGGCCTCCGCCCGCAGCTTCTAGGAACGTGCCAGTAGAGCCTGGCACGTAGTAGGTGTACAAGGCACGTCTAGAAGCCGACAGGGCTTGACCGTGTAGATGAATTTGAATTCCATAGTAGAAATGGGAAGGAGAATGCGGGAAGAGGGCGTTCTGGCCCCTGCCAGCGCCTGGCATCGCGGAGGCCTTGTCAATCAACACGCTGTAAGGACCTACTATGTGCTAAGCTCGGAGGCGAAGACCTGGCCATCTCATTACCCGCTCCTCCCGTTTTCCCGGTCGGCGACTTCCTCCACCTCCTCCCATCTCATCCCCACCTCCCCGCCCCCCACAAACGGTCGCAGAGCGGGGGTGGGCGCTCGCTGTCTCCCAGGGGAACCACCTCTGCACAAATCGGGGGGACGTGGGGGACCCACGAGGGGGATAAGCCAGGAGAGGCGAGGGGTCCCCGGAAACGAACACGTGAAAGCCGATGAGGCGACAGGGCGAGGGAGGCATTGCCCTTCGGGTCAGGGCTGTCTCCCTCTGCAGGACACGCCGGACCCAGGGGACGCAGTGACCTGCCCAGCCCCCCACCCACGTGTACCAGCACGGAGCGCACCACCGAGCCCCGCGCGTGGTCTGCGCGGACCGGGACCCACACGTAGGAGGGAGCAGAGACACGGGGCTCCGGTCTCCGCACAGAGCCCAGACCATCCGGACACCCTTCCCGGGAGAACCGGCTGCAAGACAAGGCGAAGGCGCGCTCGGGCCGGCGTACGTGTGCCAAGCGGGGCGCGCAGCCTCACCCCCATCTCAAGTTCAGCCGCGCTCCCTCCCGCAAGGTCACGCTCCAACACTCACACGCAGAGACAGGAGGAGCTGAAAGTTGCGCCACCGTCCCGATCCCGAACTAGCAGTAGCCCCACCGTGGCGCTCTGCCTTGGTGTCACCGCTCCCCGCCCCTGCCCCGCGCGGGTCATTCACGCGAGAGACGCAGACGAGTTGCTAACTTTTGTCAGATTATTTCTCGGCAGCTGAGGCGCCTAACGGGGTTGGGGCGGACTCGGAGTTTCGAGTTGCCACCAACGCCACCTCCGCCCAGCTCCCCGGCGCTCACCCGAATCCCCCCACGGCCCCCCACGCCGCGTCCAGCTGCCCGTCCCGGGCGCCAACTTCTCCCCCGAATCCGGAACAGCGCGGGCTGGAGGCGTCGCCGGGGCCGAGAGCCCCCTCCCAGGTCTGCGCCTGCTCGCCGTGGATTGGGATACTCAGACTAGATCCGGACACTGTCCCTCGGCCGCTCGACCAGGTCACCAGCGGCCTCCGCGCGCCCCCGCGGTGTCCCAGCCCGTGACCCTGGCTCCGCTCCAGGGCGCCTGAGCCCCGCTACCAGGTGGGGTCTCCTCCCACGGGCGGCCTCGGCCCGGGAGATCCCAGACGGGTGCTGGGTGCAATGTCACTGGGGCCGCTCAGGGGACCGCTGCTCCGGACCCGGCGTAGGATCCCAGCTGAGCTCCCTCCCGGCAGCGACTCCAGTAACCGCGGAAGACCCCTGAGCCCGAGCCTCCTCCCAGCCCTCCTTCGTCTCCGAAAGACTCCGGGGGTCGACGCGGCGAGGGATGGGGTCTCCCTTAGTGTCTTCCTCCCGGCGCCTGGGGTCCTCAGTCCCACGTCCACTGTCACACCCTCCAGCCCTTCCGTTCCCGGGTCTGGACAGTCACCGCTCCACTCGGAGAACACACACCAAACTGCCCGAGCCCCAACTCTGGCGGACGCAGCCCCCGCGCCCCGGAGCAGTGCCGGGCTGGGCGCGCGCACTCACCGCGGCTGCAGACACGCTGGAGTTTCCGGGCTGCGGGCACGAGGGGGCCCCGAGGAGCAGCCCAGGGCGAGGGTGCCTGGAACCCTCGCTCCCTCCGCGGCTCACGTCGCCTCCTCCTGCTTTCTCTCCTCCTCTTCTTCCTCCTCTCCCTCCCCCCTCTGGTCTAGGGCTCTTTGTCTTTGCAAAGTGTCGGGACTGTCTGGCATCGTGGGGCTCCGCGGCGGAGGCTGGAGCCCGGGAAGCGGGGAGGCGGGCTGAGGACGGGAG